TTATCTCCTTCCGACAAAATCCTTCCCATGGAGTTGTGTCTAAGTTTCTAAAAGGTTCTGGTAGTTATGCAAGTAGTGGGGTAGTCCTCTTCTGGAGGCATTTTCCACCAATTATCAATTCCAGAATATCCTTTTTCAGCCCCTAGTGCCACATCCATTGGTTTTAGTGATAGATGCCTTCAGTTTGGATCAGACCTATATGATTCTCCTCCTTATATGCCTTTTCCCCCAAGTTTTATTGTTTATCTAGTCCACTCCATGTTGTATTTATTTAATTGAACCTTTCAGGCAGGCTCAACCTTGGTTTCCAGTCCTTACTCTCCTTTAGTTGGCACTTTCGTGCTACTTCATCTTTCTCAATAACTTTTCCATCAACCTCAGTCACTGGTGTATTATCCCACATTTGCCACACTCTGGCTTCACTCGTGGCTTTTGTCTGGTCCCTTGCGAGTCAGTACAGACTGTCTGCACGTGTAACTTTCATCCTTTCCCCCTAATGGTGTATCAGAAAAAATGGAGTGCTTTTCACTGTTGGTCTCTGCATCGTGGTTACCTTCAATTTCATCCTAAATTTCCTCTTATCTCTGAATTTTTACCTTACTGTTTGACAATGGTACTTCCATATTTACCATTTCTGGATATCATTCAACCTTGTCCAGTACATTCTTTTTTTCACATTCTCGCAGAGTGTTTTCCACTTAGATCATTTCCATTTGGTTTCATTCCTTTTGGATCCTTCATCTTCCTCGTCCTACACTCCTTTCTGAATCGTACCTTAATGTTATTCTCCATGCCCTTACCCAATTCTTATTTGCACCCTTGGCTAAACATTCCCTATACAATTTATCACTCAAGTCCTATTTCCTGCTCCTTTTTGTTTGTGGTTATCTTAGGTCAGATGTTTTAGCCCTCAACATATCATCTTACCTGTGTTCTCCTGTATCCCAATCATAGTTTTCCCAGGATTTCATCAGTTCTTGAAGGCAATGTTTGCTTTCCAACACTTTCCATACCTTCCATTTCCTGTTTGTAATATCATTCAGATATGGATAGAATTCTTTGTCCTGTGCATGTTCTCAGGTGTTATATTGCCCATATGGTTTTCTTCTGTGACTCCCTTACCCCTTTATTTATCCATTGGAACCCTTTCTCTCCAAGAGATACTTCACATGCCACCCTCACAGATCTATAATGCCCACTGTTGAAATGGGGTGTTCTGTAAGACTCTTTGTAGGTTCATCCTCGTGGTGTATTGCATCATAATTATGCCTGTTCTGGAATGTACATTTATGTACTAGCATGAATAAATCAGAGAAGGAATTGCTGCTGATTCCTCCATTTCTGAAAATAGAGTTCTGCATTCACCGATTGCACTTTCTTTAGTGATGCATTCCTCTGGACTCCCCATTACACTCTTTCCACCCCTCTCCTAGCCACTTTATCCTGGGTGTGCTACATCACACTCAATTGAGAGTAGGGTGATAGTGTTCTGCCAGTGTAGATTGTGTGTACTCTCCTTCTATTGCATACCTGATGTACAATTCCTGATGCTGATTGGTTTTGGACTGGATGAGTCCACCCCTTTGGCTAGGAACCATCTTTCCTACTGCTTCCTGGAGGTCAGATCCTGGGTGTTCTGATGTTGGTTGGAGCTGGACTGGCCAACATAAGTCTTCACACATGAAGTTGGGCTTGGCACAATTGTCCTATTGCAGAGTTGATGATATATTCCCAATGCTGCATGGTTTTGGACTGGAGTTGACCCTCCACATTGCATTCCACCTTTCTACCATTGCCTGGATGTTAGATTCCTATGTGGCTGGTGTTAGTTGTGTACTAGGTCTGCACACATATGCAAGCTTGGGCTCTTGGAACAGAAGTCTTCTTTCCCTTCTGGTTCCTGAGCCTGAAGAGAAGATGATAGGGACCATTCTTCTACCATAAACCAGACATTCCATTCCCAGTGCTGTTGGTTCTGGACTGGAGTTGACCCACCGATTACGGTTTTATATGCCCTAGCTACACTACACCAATGGCACATCTGTGTGATTATCGGATGTGCCCATTTTACGCCCATTTGGTGACAGGTTCATTCATCAAGGGTGATGAGTATAACTCATTCAGATGTGGTGTGGTCTCCCACATGTGTATTTCCTCTTCATTAAGGTGTCACACTACATGGGTTCTCTTCAGACGCTTTCTGAAAGGTGCTCATATAGGTAATTTTGCACAGGTCTCTCCACCAGAGCAGTGTGGGATTCTAGCTATTATATGAGTAGAGGTAAGGTATTGTATTGGAAGCTATAATTTTTCTACACTGAAAATGTATTTCTGATAATAATATCTTAACTCCTCTCACACTTTCAACCCTTCCTACTCCTGGTGTTTCTTTGGTTTCTAGTCTCAAAGTGATGATTGGGTTCTATAGCACTGTGGTAGGAGGCTGTGTGACACTCCTATTGGTGGAGGGTTGGTACATGCTTATTTCCATGCTACAGCACAGCATTAGTACCACATAAAAACACATGGAGGTAGGTGGGAGTATTAAGGCTAGTGGACGGAGGTAAGTATCTATTAGAAATACAGCGTAGGAAAATTATAACTTCTGGTATATAAAATATAAAATCTTAATTAAGACTACTGTTAGGAAAATTATTTAAATCTCTTAACAGAATAAAATTTGAACATTTGAATCAAATCACTCTTAAGTTATTTTGAGCTCCAGAGAAATCAATTATGAAACTTTTAAACCTATTTTTGTGACTTATTTTTTTAACCAGGTATCATTCCAAATGAAGTCTTATTAGACTCTTAACTAAGTTTAGAATAACCTTTTTTTTCCTCTTAAATTTTAAAAGTTCTACAAACAGAACTACCAATCACATTTCCTCTTTTTGCCATAGCTAAAAAATACTCATTTGAGGCTTTAGAATTGTATTAATAAATTTTTCTGTATCTATCTTTTTTCATTACATATATATGTATCTGCCATGCATGGTAAATATTATCCATCCTTTCCGATAACATTTTCATGAATTCTGATATAATCTCAGGCAACTCTTCATAAGGTGGGCATCCCTTATGCTTGGGTCCCCTTTTAGCACTACATTTACTGCTGTTCTGCACCATTCTTCCACATCTTGCCTCATATCTATCCAGTAAAATCTCTGTTGTAGGTGAATCAATGTTTTCTTAACTCTGAGATGTCCTCCTGTTAAACTATCATGGGACTGATGCAGCACAACTTCCCGTAACTTCCTTGGTATAACTGTTTGCCAAGTCGTCACTTTCCCATCTGTAGTTTCCCATCTCCGGACAAGAATACCCATCTTCAAGCTTCAACTGGTCCCATTGTGCCCAATAGTTCTTTGTCACAGGGATTAGACTAGACACCTTCTCCCAAGCAGGGCACAAAACACTTGCTTTTAGAAAATCAATTATTGGCTTCAAATCTTGGTCTTTCTCCTGTTCTGCTTTGATATCTATATTTGGTTCTACTCCATCATCATCAACTCTTTCAGTCGGCTTGACTTCAGCTTGATGACACCTGGTTAGTTCAACCTCTCTTTTGCAGCAATGTCTGCAGTCATTTTTGCAGGGTCTTTGGCGCAGTTCATCAGCATTACCATGGGATTTTCCTTCTCTATATTCAATATTATAATTATACTGGTATATTTTTACGATCTAACGTGCTAGTTGTCCCTCTGGGTTCTTTAAAGAT